ACAGAGCCACCACCACCACAACCAGCATTACACCCCCCACAGCCACCACCACAACCAACATTACACCCCACACAACCACCACCGCACACCACCATTACACCCCACACCACCACCACCACAACCAACATTACACCCCACACAACCACCACCACCACAACCAACATTACACCCCGCACAACCACCACCACCACCACCACCTTACCCCCAACCACCACCACCACACCACCACCACCACCACAACAACGTACACCCCACACAGCCACCACCACCACAACCAACATTACACCCCGCACAGCCACCGCCACCACCACCACCACCACAGCCAACATTACACCCCCACACAACCACCACCACAACCAGCATTACACCCACAGAACCACCACCACCACAGCCAACATTACACCCCCGCACAACCACCACCACCAACGTACACCCGCACAACCACCACCACCACCACCACCACCACCACCACCACCACAACCAACATTACACCCACACAACCACCACCACCACAACCAACATTACACCCCACAGAACCACCACCACCACAACCATTACACCCCCACACAACCACCACCACCACCACCAACATTACACCCCCCCACCACCACCACCACCACCAACATTACACCCACACACAACCACCACCACCAACATTACACCCCACACAAACACCACCACCACCACCACCACACCCCACACAACCACCACCACCAACATTACACCCCACAACCACCACCACCACAACCACCATTACCCCCACACAACCACCACCACAAACATTACACCCCACACAACCACCACCACCACAACCACCATTACACACACAACCACCACCACCAACATTACACCCCACAACCACCACCACCACAACCACCATTACACACACACCACCACCACCACCACCATCACACCCCACAACCACCACCACCAACATTACACCTCCACAACCACCACCACCAACACCCACACACCACCACCACAACCACCATACACCACCACAACCACCACCACCACCACCAACTTACACCCCCACACAACCACCACCAACATTACACCCCACACAACCACCACCACCAACAACACCCCACCACCACCACCACAACACCACAACCACCACCACCACCACCACCACCACCACCACCACCACCACCACCACAAACTACCACCACCACCACCACCACCACCACCACAACCACCACCACAACCACCACCACCACCACCACCACCACCACCACCACAGCCACAGCAACCACCACCACCACCACCACCACCACCACCACCACCACCACCACCACCACCACACCACCCACCACCACCACCACCACCACCACCACCACCACCACCACCACCACCACCACCACACCACCACCACACCACCACCACCACCACCACCACAACAACAACAACAACCACCACCACCACCACCACCACCCCACCACCACCACAACCACCACAACCACCACCACCACCACCACCACCACCACCCACCACCACCACAATACCACAACCACCACCACACCACCACCACCACCACCACCACCACCACCACCACCACCACCACCACCACAACACAACCACCACCACCACCACAACAACCACCACAACCACCACCAACCACCACCACAACCACCACCACCACCACCACCACAACCACCACCACCACCACCAACAAACCCACCACCACAACCACAACCACCACCACCCACCCACCACAACCACCACCACCACCACCACCACAACCACCAGCACCACCACCACCACCCCACCACCACCACCACCACCACCACCACCACCACCACCACAACAACCACCACCACCACAACCACCACCACCACCACCATCACCACCACAACAACCACCACACCACCACCACCACCACCACCACCACAACCACCACCACCACCACCACCACCACCACCACCACCACCCACCCACAACCACAACACACCACCACCACAACCACCAACCACCACCACCACACCACCACCACCACCACCACCACCACCACCACCACCACAACCACAACAACCACCACCACCACAACCACCACCACCACCCCACCACAACCACCACCACCACCACCACCACCACCACCACCACCACCACCACCACCACCACCACCACCACCACAACCACCACCACCACCACCACCACCACACAATACCACCACCACAACCACCCACCACCACCACCACCAATACCACCACCACCACAACAACAAACCACCACCACCACAACCACCACCACCACCACCACCACCACCACCACAACCACAACAACCACCACCACCACAACCACCACCACCACCACCACCACCACCACCACAACAACCACCACCACCCACCACCACAACCACCACCACCACCACCCACAACACAACAACCACCACCACCACAACCACCACCACCACCACCACCACAACCACCACAACCACCACCACCACCACCACCACCACCACCACAACAACCACCACCACCACCACCACCACCACCACCACCACCACAACAACCACCACCACCACCACCACCACCACCCACCACCACCACCACCACCACCACCACCACAACACCACCACCACCACCACCACCACCACAACCATCACCACCACCACCACCACCACAACAACCACCACCACCACCACCACCACCACCACCACCACCACCACCACCACCACCACCACCACCACAACACAACAACACCACCCACCACAACCACCACCACCACCACCACCACCCCACACACCACCACCACCACAACCACCACCACCCACAGCCACAACAACCACCACCACCACAACCACCACCACCACCACCACAACAACAACCACCACCACCACCACCACCACAACCACAACACGCCACCACCACCACAACCACCACCACCACCACACCACAACCACCACCACCACCACCACCACCACCACCACCACCACCACAACAACCCACCACCACCACCACCACCACCACCACCACCACCACCCACCACACAACCACCACCACCACAACCACCACCACCACCACCACCACAACAACCACCACCACCACCACCACCAACCCACAACAACCACCACCACCACAATACCACACAACACCACCACCACCACCACCACAACAACCACCACCACCACCACAACCACCACCACCACCACCACCACCACCTACCACCACCACAACAACAACAACCACCACCACCACCACCACCACCACCACCACCACCACCACCACCACCACCACCACAACAACCACCACCACCACAACCACCACCACCACCACCACAACAACCACCACCACCACCACCACAACCACCACCACCACAACCACCACAACAACCACCACCACCACCACACAGCAACCACCACCACCACCACCACCACCACCACCACAACAACCACCACCACCACCACCACCACCACCACCACCACAACAACCACCACCACAACAACCACCACCACACAACAACCACCACCACCACCACCACAACAACCACCACCACCACCACCACCACAACACCACCACCACCACCAACAACCACCCACCACCACCACCACCACCACCACCACCACCACCACCACCACCACCACAACAACCACCACCACCACCACCACAGCAACCACCACCACCACAGCAACCACCACCACCACCACCACCACCACCACCACCACCACCACCACCACCACCACAACAACAACAACAATACTCACTAGGTTGTAGGTAGAGTCAGCCGAGGGGTTGTGAACGTTCTCTTAATCCCAACCAAATAAACGTTCTTACACGTTCTTACACACACTAGTTCTTTTCACATTCTCTTGACCTGTTGGTGAACGTTTGCTAGGTGAACGTTTCTAGGTGGATATTTTGCTAGATGGGGAACGTTTTGCTAGGTGAACGTTCCTAGGTGAATGTTTTGCTAGGTGAACGTTTCCTAGGTGGATGTTTTGCTAAGTGGATGTTTTCCTAGGTGAACGTTTTCTAGGTGAATGTTTGATAGGGGAACGTTTTGTTAGGTGAACGTTCCTAGGTGGATGTTTTGCTAGGTGGATGTTTTGCTAGGTGAACGTTTTGTTAGGTGAGCGTTTTTTGAGTGTACGTTTATGTGAATGTTTGTTATGTGAACGTGTATGTAGAGCCTTGCAGTGTGAACGTTTGTTATGTGAACGTTTATGTGAACTTCTGTGTGTATGAATGTCTGTTAGTCTTGTGTGATGGTCAGACGAACGTACGCTAAGTCACACGAACGTACGCCAAGTCACACGAACGTACGCCAGGTCACACGAACGTACACCAGACTGAGGTGGAGGAGGAGCGACGGGAAGTGGTGTTGATCCGACGATGGACAACAGTAGACTGAGGCCAGGGAAGGTGTGGTGGTGGTGGTGGTGGGGGTGGTGTGGGTGGTAGTGGTGGTGGTGGTGCGTGTGGTGGTGGTGGTGGTGGTGGTGGTGTGTGGTGGTGGTGGTGGTGGTGGTGGTAGTGGTAGTGGTGGTGGTAGTGGTGGTTCATAGTCAGTGTTCAAATGTTCAAAAGTTCAAAGTCTCGTAAAACTGTTCAAAAAGGGTTAGGTTAGGTTAGGTTAGGTTAGTTTAGTTTAGTTTAGTTTCAAAGAGATTCACAAATTCAAAAAAAATGTTCACAATTGTTCACAAAATGTCTACTAATGTTCACAATTGTTCACAAAATGTTCAGAAAATAAAAATGTTCATTACCACCTCACTCAAGCCATCATCTTCACTACCTGAAGATAAAGGCAGCCTAGGTGGGTCTCTCTCTCTCTCTCTCTCTCTCTCTCTCTCACTCACGTCAGGTCCTCATAACCTGGAGTGGGGAGAGCAGACCACTCCACCCTCTCCTCCAAGGACCACTCGACTCTACACGACCAGACCCCACCCTACTGACACGCCCTGGGGTCTGTTAGTCTATTTGGGGTCTGTTGGGGTCTGTTAGTCGTTTGGTCTCTCTCTCTCTCTCCACACGTTAAGCAATTATTAAAACACAATTATG